GGATGGGTTTTTCCAGGCTTGTTTGAGTCCATCCACCTGTTTCTTTGAGTTTTTGCTGTGTGTAAATGCCAAAAGACCGCAGCTGAATAAATCAATAAAATCTGAACCAGGAGTCCATTTCCGTGTTCTCTAACCGGGACACACACATCCATACTTTACTGCTCTAAACCAACTAGTTTCCAGGAGAAACCACATTCTCCGTTTTAACAGTGATGGATGATTAATAATGTACAGTGAACTTAGTGGATGTTTGTACAAACATAATGTCTTTATCGGTCTTGTTTTGGTTTTTGCTTAAACAGGGGCTCATGAGGAAATTGATTACTCTGCCAAGTTGAAGTTCAGTGACGATGAAGGAGATGAAGAGGGAGAAGAGGAGAAAACTGAGAGCAAGAGTGACTCACGGTGTGTTACCAGTTACATTCAATTCTTGATAGCATCAAATGTTCACAATAGTTTGTTCGGGCTTGAACTGTAACTAGACTATACAAGTTATACAGTGATTTGTTTTTAATTCTTTTTTCTTTTGTCCTTAGTGAGCAACAGAGGTCCCAGGATGGAACTGCAACCTCTCACTCTCGAAGCTCTGACAGCAGCGGAGACAGTCGTCACACCCCTCCCTCTAGTGCTGACAATGGCCCCCAACCCCCCTCCAGCAAGCCAGGATGGGCCGAGGAGGGAGGCAGTGGCTGGGTGGGCCAGGGAGCACCATCCAACTATCAGGTAGTGTGCCAAACAGCAGCAACAAGAGCTTGCCCAGTGAGACTATAGTCAAGCTGGAAAAAGAAGTCCAAATTTACAACAGGACAATTTGTGTAAACCATTAAGCAAAGACTTATTTGCGGGCAGAGTAAGTGTTTGTGTCAGTGTAGGGCTTTGTGGTGGGGCATGGCTAACTGTGTCTGCCTGTATACAGGGGCGCAGGCCTGGATTGGGTGGTACCCGGGAGCAGCCCTCCCCCCCACCTGGGCCGCTCCTCGGACAAGGGCCTTACTCCTTTTACCGACAGGTAGACATCCGGATAGGTCCTCATAGACAAATCACTTCTATCATTATCCCATCCACCGCCCACAGGTCTTTTAGCCAAGTCATCTTTAATTTTGAGTTCACGTTTTGCCTCTTGAGTTTTTATTGCAGTTGCTGTAATCATTCATGGAGCATTCTTCCACAATGATATCATTGAAAAGGTTTAAATAAATAATTGTGAAACTGAAGAGAGTCAAATATTTTCTAACGTTTCAGGACCGCCCCCCCAACCAGGGTGCCCCTCTTGGCCCAGGGAAACCTGCCCCTGCCCAGCATCCACCAGCAGCAGGAGGCCCTACCCCTCCTGCCCAGCCAGGCCTGCTGGTCCATGGGGCCCAGGGGGATGATGAGGATGAAACCTGGCGTCAGCGCAGGAAGCAGTCGTCGTCTGAGATCTCTGCTGCTGTAGAGCGAGCCCGACGCCGTCGTGAGGAGGAAGAGCGTAGAATGGAGGAGGAGAGGCGTGCAGCCTGCGCTGAGAAGCTAAAGAGGCTGGATGAAAAGCAGCAACAGCAACAGGGCAGCAACATAGGAGGTGGTGGTAGCGGCAGCAAAACCCCCAGCCTTGATGGAAATTCTACAGCTGCTACAGCAGGCAGCCCCAGTCCATCTATTTCAGCTTCAGCCTCCTCCCCTAACATCAGCCAGCCCCCCTCTCCCTGTGTGGACCCTGAGGAGCCTCCAGTGCTGGCTGTCCAGCCGGGGCCTGGTCCTGGAGTAGGTGACCGTCAGCGTGCCAGCAGCAATAGCAGCTATGACTCCAGTGCAGGTGAGGTTGTCAGCTATACGCAACAAGTCTGAATTAAAATACAAGACTAGACTGAAAAAATAAAATCCAATACGATAAAAACCATACTGCCTGGTTGTTAATGTGTCAGCTGCTATTAGATGGAAGCAGCCATGTAGACTCTGCAACCTTTTTTGTTTCAGATGTCCAACAGTGTCCCCAGCAAGCTGTGCCACAGCAGCCCACACTAGATTTACCTTTACCAGGAGAAAATAAGGAAGAGACCATGGGCAGTCCTCACATTCGTGCAGCAAGTGGAAGTGAAAGAGGAGTCGACCCAGTGAAGATTGAGAATATTGGAGGTGGAGCAGGTCGTCAAGCTGGTGGTCCTCCTGGCCAGGGTTACTCTAAATACCAGAAGTCTCTTCCACCTCGATTTCAGAGGCAGCAGCAGGTTAGGATATGTACTTGTGTTTTGGTTGTTGCATTCTAAATTATTTTGGTCTCCTTACGTTTTATTTGGACACAAAAATAACACATAATGATTACGCTACATTTTCCAAAGGAAGCCACATGTTTTGCTGCCAAAGCTGGCATGACTTTATAGGTACATTATATCTGTCTTCTTCTCTTCAACATCCTGAGTGCTATATTTTTCTATTTTCACACTAATTTCTTACTAGGAGCAGCTTCTGAAGCAACAGCAGCAGTGGCAACAACAACAGCAGCAACACAGCCAGGCAACACAAAGCCAGCTGTCCCCCCAGCCCCAGGCTCAACAGGGTCCTTCACCAGGTACCACACCCCAGCCAGGGCCTGGACCTAAGCAGGGTGGTCCTCTGTACCAAGCCAGCAATATGGTTCGACCTCCACCCCTGCCAATGAATTTTGATCCTCGCTGGATGATGATGCCCTACATGGACCCTCGCATGATGCAAGGACGCCCACCACCCATGGACTACTATTCAGCTGGCATGCATCCGTCTGGTCAGTTTCACTAATTAAATGATTAAATAACACAGTACTGATTTGGTACAGGTCATAGTTCAGATGTTGATGTATGTTGGGCCAGTGCAGAAGTGACTATTGAGGAAGACTGAAGTCAACAATTAACATTGTTTTTCCTAACAGTATCTGTTTATTTTCATATTTATTACATTTTTCACTTTCACAGGGATCATTGGACGTGAGCGGTCTGATTCAGGTGGTTCTGGTTCAGACCCCTTTGACAGGCAGCAACAGCATCCAGGGCACCCTCACCGTGGGACCCCCCCTATGGATCCTAAGCTGGCCTGGGGGCCAGAGGTGTTCCCTGGTGGCGGGGAGAACCGTGGGCTAACGTCTCCCCTCAGGCAGAAGCAGGCATTGGAGGATGACGATGTGGCCAAAGGGCCAAGGTATGGATGCTGAAGTCAGTTCGGGAGGGATTTAGGAAAACCTCTGAGAAGCCTGTTGTAGATTTTTTTTCCTTTCCTGCTTTGCTATTTACTGCAACGTCTATAGGCGTTTTAGAGGTAGTGTCTCTTGATCAACTGTTTAATTGCATTCATTACATTAAATATTACTTTACCTCTACACACAGCATAATTAGTGTATAGTAAGTATAAACTGGAATTATCATGCCCTTTAAATACAGAATTGATTAAGTTAGTATTTTGTGTTCTTTCATTCTTCTTCTTAGGAGTGACACTCCTCCACACCGCATGCGAGAGGGTGGATTGGGACCCATCCAGCAGCCCAGTTCCACATCTGGAACATCCAATCAAACCCCTCCTCCTGTTAGCACTCAAGTTGCTGCCCAAGGAGGCGGCCACCACCCTCATCACTACATTAGTGGGCGAGGCAACTACAGCAACTTCCCTGATCAAGGTGGAAGGATGCCTCCCCACCAGCAGCAGCAGAGGGGCGGTGACAGGGGAAACCAGCCACATGGCTTCACCCACCAGGATGAAGGGCCTCCTCGGGGTTCTCAGCAGGGGCAGATATGGGGAGCCCCCCATCCTCACTATGATCGTAACAGTCGTGCAGATCTCCCCCCTGTTGACAGCAACTCTCACCTCCACCACCATCACGGCCACCATCCTCAGCAGCCTCACTTTCCTCTCCACTCTCATAAGCCAGAGAACAGCCGTGACAGGGTTGGTGATGCCCCCACTAAAAAGACTGACTCTTCTCCCCCCCTCCACCAACCTTCCCTCTCATCTTCCTGCTCGTCCTCCTCCTCCTCCTCTTCTTCTGCCAGAGAAGATGGGGGTGTCAAAGTGGCACTGCATCATCACCTGTCACAGAGAGATGGCGAGGCAGGCATTGGGCACGGTCTTGGTGAAAGAGGCAGCAGTGGTAATGCCAGTGGTAGCAGCCATGTTAAACAAGAGAAGACGGGCCCAGCATATGCTCCTCATTCCTCCATCACTTCTAGCCCACCTCCTGCTCAACATGGCAGTCATAATCAACCTCAGCAGCAGCAGCATCCCCATCCTAAATCAAACCAAAGAGGAGGACGGGAGCACAAGACAGAGACGCAGTGGGGCCCACGGCCTGGCAGCAGCAATATGAGTGGGGGGTCCTCTCATGGCAGGAGGGCCAACAATGCAGGAAGTGGGAACCACTCCCGTGGAGGAGAGGACACCTCCAACACTCCATCAGATCACAAACCCTCCAACCAGACTGGAGGCAGCAATGCCAACAAGAGAGCAGGACCCATTAAGAAGCCGGTGCTGAAGGAAATGAAGAGAGATGGAGGGGAAGTAGATGGAGGAGATAAACAAAGCCAAGGCTTTGGAAAAGATAAAGAGCATGATTGTAGCCAGTCCACCTCCATGAAGCAGGAAACCTCCATCTCACAGAACACATCAGCTCCATCTAAAGATGAGCCAGCCCAGACAGCCAAACCCAGGAATGGAGGGAAAGAACGATCCTCAGGTGGAGGTGGAGGAGGACCAGGTAGAGGACCCAAAGATGTAGATGCCACTTCATCTGGCTTTTCAGGGTCTTCTTCCAGGAGGGACAGAGACCGCTCCCTTGAAAGAGGAGGAAACCCCGCCCACCATCATGGCATCCCCCCCAAAGGCAGCAGAGCTAGTCGTGGACGAGGGGGTGAATTCTACGGGCGTGGCCGTGGTTACCGGGGCACCTACACAGCCAGTGCTGGACCTGCTGGCGGCAGCCGGGGAAGAATGGGTGGAAGGAGTAGTAGAGACTACCGTGCATCAGTTGGTGGTGGCCATCATCAGGAATCCAAGGGTGATGGAGCTGGTGGCAGGCATGGTCAGGATCGATCTCAGCATAACCCAGCCAGGGCCAGAAACCGCAGTGAAACCCGCAGTGAGGGCTCAGAGTATGAAGAAATCCCCAAGAGAAGGAGGGAGAGAGGCTCAGAGACTGGCAGTGAGAGTGGTGCAAGTGACCTTGGTCATTCAGACAAAGAAGACAACCAGAAACCCAACACCAAGAATGGCTCTGATAACACCAACACCGGTGGCAGTGGAAACATCTCATCTGCACCACCTCGAGGTTCCCAGGCCCGTGTCTTCACTCCCAGAGGTGTGCCCTCTAGGAGGGGCAGGGGTGGGGGAGGTGGAGGAGGAAACATCTACAGGAGTAGTGGCAATATTGGAGGATCAGCTGGCGGACACCGGGTTGGACCCAACTCGGTCTCTCATGGTGGGCCCCCCAAGTCATCAGCTTCAGCTCGTAAACAGCAAGGTCCACCACAGACCTCTGGGCCCAAAGACTTGGGTCGGGGAGGGAATGCAGGAGAGAAGAAGGACAAGATAGCTGATGGAAGTCAAGCTCAGAATCAGGGGACCAATCCCCCTCAGCCATCTTTGCCTGCTACAACCCCTGCTGCACTTGGCGCCACTGAAAATGGCGGGGTTGTAGCCCAGCAAGTGTCAACCAACCCTGCATCAAACCCTGGAGGGCCAAATGCGCTCCCTCTTCCTGCTAGCCGTGGGTTCCCTCCCAGTGGGTTTGAGCGACCCCCTAGGCGTCGCCGTCATGGGCGTTCCCAGCATCAGCAGGACAAGCCGCCCCGCTTCCGGAGACTGAAGGAGCGAGAGAATGCCGCACGTATCAACGGAGGAGTGGGGGTCATTGGGGGAGGACGGCCTTCGTCTCCCTCCCTGAATTCAGTTCAGGAAAGTAACGGAGCTCCAATCTCCGCTCCCATGACAGGGAATGCCCAGAATGCTAACCACAACACCACACTAACAACTAACAACAACAACAACAGTGGTGGCGGGCATCTTAGCAATGCAAACAGCCACCACCATCACCACTACAACCAGAGCAATGCAGGTCCAACCCACCCCCAGCACCCTCACAGCCACGGAGCAAAGTCTCCTGACTTCACCAACCAGAACTCAGACCAGGCCAACGAGGAGTGGGAAACTGCTTCTGAGAGTAGTGACTTCACAGAGTTCAGAGACAGGGAGGGAGGAGGAGGAGGAGGAGGAGGGGGAGGGAAGTCATATGCTTCTCACCATCACCATCACCTGGGTAGAGGAGGAGGGGGCGGCGGCGGAGGTGGAGGTGGAGGTGGTGGAGGTGGAGGTATGGTCGAGCGTGAGATGGCGGGTAAAGAGCCCTCAGCCAATAAAAGAAGCTTCTCAAGCCAGCGTCCCGGCATGGAGCGACAGAACCGGAGGGTCAATGCCGGAGGAGCTGGAGGTGGAGGTGGAGGCAGAGGCCCTCGCGGCCCGCCTGGTGGTGGCCCCGGCGGGCCTGGCAATGGAGGTGGCAACCGCGGGGAGAAGCGAGGCAACTGGCCCTCACCGAAAAATAGGAAGTGATGGGATATAAAACATTTCAGATGAACCCCACCCACATTAAAACCCCACCCTCTTACATCTTAATCCCTTTTGATCATTATCTCATGGCTTTTCTGTTGGCATCCTTAAACACAGTAGTGCATTGTATAGTATATGGAGATGGTATTCACATTCACATTAGCTGCCCCCCACCCCAGTCATCTCTTTCCCTTTTGCGTCATTCTACTATCTACCGTCCGTTATTGTAAATTTCTCTGTTTGTTCCGTCTTTCCATTCATTTGTACCCCCAGCCCGCTCTTCTTTTTTTTTTTTTTTGTAACCTTCCCTCAAGAAACTCACCCCTGTTGGATTTGACAAGCATGTGGTTGTGCAATGGAGGTGCACGTCGTTTTGACAGAAGACATTCACACAGCTTCACACACACTTGCATTTACAAGCACAAATATGACATCTTTAAAAACACACAGTCATGCAGTCATGTGGGTGCAAAATGAAAACATGGGATTAAATTGGCAAAAATGTTTGGATTGGGCTAACTTTTGTATTTATGTACCTGTGTATATTTCTACCACACTTCGGCCTTGGGTGGTATTCGGTAGTGCAGTTCTGAATAACTTCCCTCTCAAAGGGAAAGAGTGCACCGTCATCTTTAAACGAGAACAATGTAACATAACGTTTTTTTTTTTTCTTGTGTCTTTTTCTTTTTTTTTGGTCTTGTGTCATTTGAGTTCCAGCCTCTGAGAAATGTTAAGGGTATGTGTGTTTTCTTCTACAAAGCAGGTCATTAAAACACCTTTTTACTAAATTCCCCATTTCCTCCTTTTGCTGACTTTTTGGTCTCTCGCAAAGTATGTGTGATTACTGTGATAAGACCTATTGAAGTACTACTGCTCAGTGCTCACCTACACATGCATTGATTTGTCTTTAATATCAATGTTTCTGCTGCTTGTTCAGATAGACGGTGTGAATATTTTTCCCCACAACCTGCTCTGACTTTTCATTAGATATTGGTTGCTTCTTTTTTTTTTCTTTTCTTTTTAGGAATAAAGGCTTTTTTGGGCCTCATCGTAGCATTCTCTTTTCCCACAGAACTTCTGCACACTGCAAAATCAGGACAATAGTTTTACTTTCTTTCTCTCTAATGAGTTTTGTTTACCCTCTGAAGACTGTATTGATAGTTTGATGGCTTTATTTTAACAACCATTATTTCCTCAGTGACTTCCATTTTTATGGAAACACTCTTTTCCTCCCTCAAAGTTAAATACCAGTTGATTTTTTTTTTTTTTCAGGGGAAAAATTAGTTATAAATGAAAATCTAAGTCATGGTAGAATAAACAAAAAATGTTTGACATTCAGAAACTTGTTTATGCTTCAATAGGTGATTGAATATGTTCTAATAAGCACTCCTTGTAGGATAACAAACATCCATGGTTGCTGTTTTGTTTTTTTTTTGTTTGTTTTTTTCGTGTCTTTTCCTCTTTGTGTTAATGTTTTTGGGTGAGTTACATGTGTTGCAACAGGACAGGTACTCTGTCTGGGCCCAGAGTACAGAGCTAGGCCGAGTGTTGTACTATTACTTCTCCTCTGCTGTCGTGTGTGGCACGATCTGTGCTCTTGTGGAGACTCCTCACACCAAGAAGGACTCCTTGTCCGAGGAAGTATTTTTTCAAAGTGTGTGTACTCGGGATGGCCGTTTCAGTACACGGTGGCAACCAGGAGCCCAAACGAAGTGAATTCAGGACTACACTGAGTGTCACCTTCGACAGTTTACCACACGGTTACAAAGGTTATACTGGCAACAAATAATGCTGACCTGAAGTGAGGAAATATTGGATTGATGTATGATTAGTAGTTTGTATCACACAATAGAGACGTAAAAAAGGACTGGAAACAACATCCAAGGTGAACTAAATTGATTTCTCTCATCTGCATCAATTCTGTCACTGCTGTAAGTTGGGGTTTGTTTGTTTACTGACAACAGTTTGAAGATCGTCTCTGGGATGTTGTGAGTAGGGCATTTGATGATTTGTGTACGTGTGTGCATGTGTGTGTGTGTGTGTGCGCGTGCTTGTGTGTATGTGTGTTTTGTCTGTGTAATAACCTGGGAAGGGGTGGGGACCAGAGGGTTAACATGAATGGCAAGCACTTTCTGCCTTGTTTGCCCACACGTGATTTAACCAATATTATTAAGACAATTGTACTGTTTCTTAAATACATCCACATATATAGTTTCAGCTGTGTGTATATGTTCATCATCCAAATGAAGAACCTGCAGTGGAGAGCTTCACCAGTTGTGTGTGTGTGTGTGTGTGTGTGTGCGCGCGCGTGCGTGGGTGGGTGCGTGGGTGTGGGTGTGGGTGTGGGTGTGCGTGCGTGCGTGTGGGTGCGTGCGTGTAATTTAAGCGTACATTCTTCAGCAGGCAAGTGAAGTTGGACATATTTTTATTTTTCACTATGACTTCTTCTAAGCATGAACACACCCATGGGTGCAGCTTGCCTTGCCTGTTACTGGTTTATACATTGATAGCTGTACACTTAACACTGGCTCAAAGAGTCCTTCATCCCTCCTTAACTCTTAATGTTGATGTGCGCATTATTGTATGTACCCATGTTAAAAGAAAACAAAAGTAGTGTATTCCAGAAAAATTACTCAAAGATTGTATTATGTTTCCAGCAGGTAGCAGTACTGAGGTACCTGGAGTGGTTCAAACTGTTTTTAGCATTTATGGTTTTATTAATGGAACCGTAATATACACACATGTATGTATATTGGTATGTATCTAAGTTTTGTCTACCCCAACTTACATTCCCACAAACAAATGTTGCCATTTTTAGTTCAAGGGAGCAATGTACAAGCAGAGAAGTGTCTTATTATAATAAAGTTATACAGAGAAGGCAAAGTTAAATAAACTACTTTTGATTTAATGGAAAATGTAATTGCATGTCTCGTTCTTGGTTCTTGATGAAGTGGAAAATTTGAAGATGGCTAGAAAATTGCTGTCATCACTAATGATGATTTTATTTAATGTAATACCTGCAAGGCAGCAGCATACTGGCACATCTGAATGTACCGCAGCCATAGTTAATATTCTCCCCTGAAGGGAATGCAACTAAATAACAGAGTATTGTTAGTGTTTGCCGTCTAAGGTTAATTTTTTAACTTTTTTTTTTTGCCTGCCAGCCGGATGTTCTGCAAGTCTGGCTTTCCATTTAAGTAGTAGAATAATGGTTTTACCTATTAAAATGTATAGTCTATTTTAGGTGTGTTCCCATCTTTGTGAAGACTGATATATTTTGGATTTTTTCTGGTGGACTGTTAGGAAGAAAATCTATTTTTTCCCCTTGTGCTTTAAGGTTGTGTTACTGACAACTACTTTCCAAACTATACTACATAATGGTGAATAGGTAATTGTGCTTTATCTAGAATAAATAGAGGCATTATTGCAGTATACAATGGCAGTGAGCACACCGTTGTGCAATATCACTTAAACTTTAAATGGTTCAGAGTTGAAACACCTCACAACAACAGCATTGCAATGAAAACCAAATAGTTAAGAAAGACATTATTGAAAAGTCAGGCCCGAAGTTCAAACTCGGTGTAACAGAAGTGAATACACCGAGTGCAAAAATTTCTGATTAGTAGAAACACTTGTAAAATGACCTGAAAACAACTGAATTTTCTCAGTTTTGGACTTAAAGCCTGTGTTTATTTGCGTGTCTGTGTCATAGCTCCACATGGAAAAGAATTACCAGACGAATTATAAAAATCTGAATGTGACAGAAAAATTGGTGACTAACTGAAAATCAATAAAAACAGTTGCAGCCGTAATCAAGGGGATGCAGAACAAAGCATAGTACCACTAACTAAAGCCACATTCTTAAAATGACACAACGGACAGTATGCCAAACTTGGCACAGAAGTTATTAATGCAAATCAGAGTTTATGTGACAACTCAGCGTGAAGGACGGTCCATAACTTCAAGCTCTATTGACGGCATCCAAGAAATAAACCCTTGCTTCCTCTTCGGCACAAGGTTGCATGATGAAACTTTGCTTAGGAATGTGGAAAAAAATGCCTGATAAATATTGGAAGCTCAACCTTTGGTCAGACGATTGAAATAAATATGACTGGCTCAGATGGGGTTCAACTTGTCAACTTGGCATAACTTCCACAGTGAATGCCGTCCTGATAGTGAAGCACGGAGGTAGGAGTGTGATGATACAGGGCTATATTATTGCAAAAAATGTTGGGGAGATGATATTTAATGATGGCACTGTGAATGCCTTTGGATATACTAAAATTCTGTCAAGTGAGACAGCTCCCAGTCTGCAGAAACTTGACAGAAGAGAAATATTCCAGCATGATAACAATCCACAGCACACTGTTAAAATCACAGAAGAGTTGTTGCTTGACTTGAGCAGAACATCTCTCCAGAAATTTGAAGTATCAAGTCTGTCATTTTTAAATAAAGGTGGACATTTAACCTCTTAAGACCTCGCGTCCACATGTGTGGACTTTACATTTTGGGTTGTACTACCACAGTAGTTTCTTTTTTTAAAATTTGTTTTTATTTTTCTTATTTCTATTTCCTTATTTATTTATTTCTTTATTTTTTAAGTGTTTTTTTAAAATATGTATATTTGTATTTAAATATAAATTTATTTTCTTTATTATTCCTCTGCTTTTTAATCACATCAAACAGCAAAGAGAAATAAAATACGCATATGAAACAAGAGCTCGGGTCTTAAGCGGTTAAGAGACTGAGAAAATAAATTATTTTAATGTTAGTAATGAATGATGTACTGACTTTTAGGGCTTGTATTTTTAATATAGTTAATCTAAACTGGAAGTTTTTAATTTTTCTATAAGAGGAAACACTTTACTGTTAAACTTGAAAGTAGTGCAGTGACTGCAAGGTGACAGAATTGAGAATTATTTGACATTTATATAATATTGCACAGGGCTGAAGAAGAAGAACATGTAAGTACACATTTTAAGAATATGAACTACTGATGAGGCAGTACAAATACCTTAACATGCAAAACTGCTGAGTCCACAAACATGTAGTACAGAAAACAAACAGTGAGCGGCAGCAGAGCACAGTGGAGCCCGCTGACAGCACGGCGGAGGAAGAGGAAGAACGTAACCTACAGGGTGAACTGGGAGGTGGTGCTTATTTACACCCGTGAGGTTGCTAAATTGTTGATCTGAAGATTTTTTTCAGGAGTATAAAAGTTGAAAAGCGGGTAAGTCGGCGCAGTTACACTCGTTTACTGCTTTAGGATCTAAATTCAGAGGCAGAAGAAGCTCCGAAAATAGCTAATTTTTGTCAGGAGGCCTGTTTTCTAACGATGCGCCATATTGAATTTCATTTGGATTCCGTAGCCGCTAGCTGGTTTTAGCTTAGCGAGCTAACGTCGGCTACATCCACCGGCTTGCATTACCACACATCACAATCACGGTCAAATTCGTCCCCAGTGCATTATAAATAATAAGATGTGTTTTTGAACGACCCATAACAACTGCAAAGGCGATTTCTTTGAATTAATATACCAGTGTTGAGAATTAACGCCGGCTAGCCAGCTAGTTAGCTTAGCCTTCAGCTGGTGTGCACAGTGATTATTTCTTTACAAGTTGCTTGTGTCTTGAGTGTTATACTTCGATTGCCTCCTTTTTAAGACAAAAAACTAACCTTGATACACGACCGGGAGAGAGTTTAGTCAGCTCACGCTGTGAATTAGAGAAAGCAAGTTACTGAGAGTGAGAATTTAGTGTTGCATTCACGCAATGTTGGCAGAATGACAAGAACCAGAAAAACAGCTCTTAGAATAGACCTGCATGGATTAATCGACTAGTTGTTGACTATTAAATGAATCGCGAACTATTTGGATAATCAATCAATCGATAATAATGAGGAAAAAAGTGAAAATCCTCTTCTTAAAATTTAATATATTTTGGTTTCTTTACTCTATGAAGTTAAACTGAACATTTTTATGGGTTGGAGAACAAAACAAGACATTTGAGGACATCACCTTTGGCTTTTTCAAGTTAATCAACATTTGTCACCATTTCCGCACACTTTCTACAGCTAACAATTGAGAAAGTAATCAACAGATACATTGATGATGATAACTTCTTTCTTTCTTTCCTTCCCTCCCTCCCACTGTTGCAGACTGCTTGCAGACTGCTGAAGCTTATAGGGAATCCAAATGTTTTGGATTGTTGGATGTTCCTGCCGTTGTTACGCGCTATGAGATGACTTGTTGTAAATATGCGCTATACAAATAAAATTGAATTGAATTGAACAACTGTTAGTTGCAGCCGTATGTTTGATTACACATTACTAATGTAAAAATGCTAACCTTTTAGTCACCTAGATAAAGCAGCTTCATTTGCTGTACTGCATATTAGTGAAGCCAGATATACCTCCTGTAAAATTAGCTGAATTGATTGAGGCTGGCATACTCATCTACTCATAATGCTGTTGCTTTGCTAAAAATGATCATCTGCCAGAGTTGCTAGAGCAATCCTTCCATATGTCTCTGCACTATGTAGCCTGCTGTGTGCCCCAGATTATGACCAATCCAGTTAGTTTTACTGGTTAAAATAGCTAGAAAGGGCCAATTCATCTCATATAATGCAGTTTTCCACATGTCATTGTGACTACCCCCTTAGGCTATAAACTGCAAATACTTTTTTGGTTGCATTTATTCAGTTGCAAGAAATGTTGAAGTTTCATAAAGACAATACTTTTTCACTGTTACCACAGGTATAAAGTTGTGTATTTGCACGTTATGACTGTTTGACCGGATAGCAGCCGCTGTAGATGTATTTAAACTTGGCAATACATTTAAAACTGTATAACACTTTCTAGCACAGCACCTGTGACCTGATTAAACAATATGACGTGAATGCAGAACATTTATAGTTACGTCAACTTCTGTCTTGTAGGTCTTCAGAGATGAGCAGTTCAGAGGAAGTGTCATGGATCTCCTGGTTCTGTGGACTGAGGGGGAATGAATTTTTCTGCGAGGTGAGTTGCCTCAGTCTTACTTTGATGTGTTTTTGTTGATTATTTACAACCAGGCAGTAATACTACGAATGAAATTAAAGTAAAAGTTTGATTTGAGGGAATTAGCTATCCCTAATCCGTGACAATATACAATGTATGATGGATGCTTGCCAGAATACACTTATTCCATTTACAAATCTGCTTGTAAAATTTGTTATACATGGCTTAAAGTATTCCGATACCGTGCCGGATTTCCGGCGTGCGGCGCTTGGCTCTGAAAAAAAAGGACTACATTGCCAATCGACAAAAACAAAACGTATCGGCCCAATTTGCAGCGTATTTCTTTCAGGCAGCAGCGTATTCGTTACTCTGTTATAACGCTGGAGATAACCTTGTATACACTTCTTCTTCTTCTTCTTCTTCTTCTTCTTCTTCTTCTTCTTCTTCTTCTTCTTCTTCTTCTTATTATTATTATTATTATTATTATTATTATTATTATTATTATTATAGATAATTCATTTAATGACTGAATGGTTGTTCACATACGGGAATTCCCGCTGATAGCCAATCAGAATGACTGTAACAGAAAGTCGCCATATACCGGAGCACGCTATACCGGGCTTCAGGGTTGAACGGGGTGAAAGCGGCAGGCCGGTATAGCGGCTATAGTGTTGAAAGGGTTAAGCAGAGACGGCAAGCCCTTTGGTTGCTGATGCAAAAAAATGCAAAAAAAAATTGCTTGCTTCTGTACCATCTGCTCAAAAAAACTCATGTATGCAACTAGCGGCAAAAAAGTGCTGTCAGATCACGAGTCAGACCCACAGGCCATAGAGCTGCTGTCTGCTCTGAAACTCACAACTCGTTTGCCAGGAGCAGCAGCCACCGCTGAGGTACAGGTGTAGTATTGCATATAGACCCCCTTGAAAATGGACCTGGTCCCTGTAGAATATGGACCCTCCACAAAAATGTGCATAAAATTTAGGGTTAGGGTACAGGCTGGGCAACATCGCCACAGAGGTGGAGATAACAGCAATTGCCAGCCTTCTCTTCACACCTATATGGACATTCTCACCCTTTGGACAGAGGTACCGCTGGCAGTGCTACTCCCCGCTACCAGATGTGCCATCACTGTGTGTGCCATCAGGCAAATCCATGTTTTTGAAGAACATGCACAAGCACCTGTTGTTACTGTTTCAGAGTTTATCTAATATAAAATTGTTATTCGTTACCTGTTGAATTTTGTTGTCTATGTTCATATTTATTTATATTCTGAAAATTATTAGGGGGGTCCATATTCTATATGGAGGGGTCCATATTCCGCTGCGGAAAATGGACCCCGGGGTCCATATTCTATGGGGGTCCATTTACAATCTTACACCGGCACCAATGACTGATTGGGTTTGTGATTTAAAAATACGCGTGTGCACGTTCATTGCAGAACACGACTTGTCGTTCACCATATCTCAGCCACTCGTTACTCTGTGCAAAAAAAGTTGGCTGAAGATAAAAATGCTTTGTCAAAACTGTGTCAAATCAGCATGCTGGTTACATAAATACATATGATATAGCACCAGCATTTAAGAAAAGTCTTCCTGAAATGCTCAAAAGGTTTGTGTTTTCATTGAATATTGACAAAGTAATGTATTTCAAAACGAGAAAATCCCTCTGAACAAGCGCAGACTTCCGCCAAGCAGCTCATCTCCACCATATTGTGATTTCCAGCCAATGTTAAAGTCCTGCATTCATATATCTACACTGTTAGATTCATGGAGAATCAAAACATACCTTTAGCATTTGAATTAATATTGATGTCATTAATAACAAGCTGACGGAGTGATGGTATCCTCCTTGGCAGAGGTAATAAATAGTGCAAATGGTGCCCATATTTTTAAAAGGTGAGTCAGTGTCCTTTTTCCATGTCTTTTACTGATTGGTTGCTAAACAATATATTTGATGGAGAACCTACCACGACTGATTGACCTTCTTTGGTGTTACTATAATCTGTAGTCTGAGTTTGGGAAGGCAGATATCTTAATATCTTACTAACTAGCGAGATTGTACCTCCACCCAAAAGCAGAAAAGTTCAGGCTCAGGATTGTTTTTCACTTTAAGCCCTGGTTGTAGAAACAGTGTTGAAAATATAAACTTGTTTGATGATCAGATGTTCCCTGTAAGCTTAAAGAAAAAACATCAGGCATCAGTAAGTCAGAAAAAACACAATTCAATCAGGTTGAGAATTTTCTCCAACATTTAAGTTAATACAAACCATGTGAAGTAAAAGCTGGTGTAGGTGAGAGCGTTTGACTGAAAAAGTTGTTTTTATGTTTTTTTTTTTTTTATCACTTCACCCTTGTTTAACGTCATTTTCCTGAGTCTGTGAGTAGCTTGACTTTCCTCCTGTTCCTTCTGGTTGTGAATAATCAGTTTTCTTAACTGGTTTCTATAACTACAGGTGGATGAAGACTACATCCAGGACAAGTTCAACCTGACGGGGCTAAATGAACAGGTTCCCCACTACCGCCAGGCCCTAGACATGATCCTGGACCTTGAACCAGGTCTGTATGTTATCCTCATGCTTCCATGCTTTCAGTTTTAAATAAGCACTGGTTGTTGTCCTTAATAGAAGTAAGTATTACTCAACAATGTGCAAAACACAGTAGTTTTCAGTAAATGTTTATCTTTATCGTTTAAGAGGTGCAACAGAGATCAGAAGTAGGATTAAAAGAGCTGTGTGTTTCACAACACTAACATCTGAACAGCTTTTAATCTGTTATTTCCAAAAAAATAAAAAATAAATAAAGTGAGAGGGAGCATTTGATCTAAGCTTTTTTTTTTCTTTTGTTTTGTGGTGATCTCAGCTAGTGTGCAGGTTGTTTCTCTTCTCCTCTTAACTCTCCTTGTTTCTAAATTACTGTACACTTTCACAGGATCTTTGAACCCAGCTATTTCCACTGCACTTCAGATTCACTCAAAAATTCTCTTTTCTTTATTTATGCACCTTCAGATTGATTGATGTAGCATGTTTGGATCACTATTGTGTCCCTCTCCCTGTCGTACCTCTGGGATTCCCTCTACCTTTGATAATCCTTCTCTGCACATCTTTGCAACTCTTTTAACTGTCAAAAACTAATGTGAAAACTTAAAATGCTCTGTGTTCTTCCTTTGGTTTCTGTTTTTAGATGAAGAGCTGGAGGACAATCCCAACCAGAGCGATCTGATTGAGCAGGCGGCTGAGATGCTGTATGGCCTCATCCATGCACGCTACATCCTCACGAACCGAGGCATTGCACAGATGGTAAGTCCCTAAATACACAGTTAAGTACTTTGTTAGGGCTGAATGACTAGATGAAAATATCTTACTGTGATATTTCTAAAATATACACCCATTCGCGATATACACTTTTAACGCTGCACTTCAGTATTTATTGTGAAATAGATTTAAAACGTGGTGGATCATTAGCGCATGAAAAACCATCAAAACATTAACTGCTGTATTTTCTAATGAAAGTATGGAAACTGAAAGATATAAATTGCTTTAAACATATGTTTATTACATTAGCATAGGAGATAGAAAAATTATCAAAAAAAAATTGGACTATTAAGTGAAATATATAAAGTAATAGTATAAATATAGCAATAAAATTCTTTTTTTTTTAAAAATAGTTTCAATAAAGAAATAGGACCTTTCTGTATACAGCCTCTGACAGTGAAACATTCATGCATCAGGAGAGCATCTAAGTATTGCACATTTTACATTTGAGTTAAATAAAGGAATGTTAATTTTTTTTTTTAAATCTTGGGGTCAGACTTGCTGCACAACATAAATTCTAAAGTGCAGTTGTTATGATTTGCTAATTGTATTGTTGAAAATTGTAATTTCAGTTTAGTCAATTAATTATTTTCACATATGCCACTGTATGTTACATACAGGTGGCTGCTTTTTTCATCGTTGTCTGAAGATGGTGAAAAATGTCTTTTTCAAGTTTCCCAGAGCTCAAGCCGACGTCTTTTAATATCTTATTTTGCTTAATTGATTTGGTTTAAAGAAAGATTTTTAGTTTATAGCAAACACTCAAAAATGACTGGCATTTGGCTCCTTTTTGAAATAATCTAAAACTGTCATTTTTTGATCAAAACTACTCCCTGGTTCCATCCTCTCAAATGTCAGGGTTTTATGCTGTTCCTTGTCATAAATAATAATTTGATAGTACACTGAATCTCTCTGGGTTTCACGCTGCTTGTCAAATAAACGTGCCAACATAATGGGTTAACAGATTTTTCACTATTCTCTGACAATCCATCAATTCAAAAATCTGCAGATCAGTCACTTAATGACAATAATTATTCATTGTAGTATTCAAATAATTATACTTCTCACACAAAAACACTATCGTAGATTGTGCTTTTCACTCTTTGGACAAGTATTAAAAATTCTTAGTTGTAATTTTGTCAGTGTACATTTGAAAACACCTTCACAGGATAGTTAAAGGGATGTAAAATACTGGAAAGTGACATTGCAACATTTCCAAGTTCCCCTTTAAATGAAAATTGATTGCCTTTTGTTGTTATATTGCTTCTTTATTATCCTCATTTCTACCTTTTCAGCTGGAGAAGTATCAGCAAGGAGATTTTGGCTATTGCCCCCGAGTCTACTGTGAGAATCAGCCAATGCTTCCTATTGGTGAGTAAAACAATATCATCAGAAAGTCTTGTCTTTAAATACCATACATCCATGTTAGAAAAAGCTTCAGCTACGTGTTACTCAAGTGTATCAGAGGACAAGATGAACAAATGTTTTACTAACTAATTAATTTAGTTTTATGTAATAGGAGTAACTATTCGTTAAAGAGTAGTTAGCTAGTATTAGTAGTATTTGTAGAACAACTATATCTAGTTGCCAGTGACAAACTTTGGTTCTTTCCAAGTCATCTGTTTCTGTTAAAATCTAACATTAATGTACAGACGGAAGTTGTTGCACAACACCAACAATGTTCATGCGGTCTCTGTCTCGAGTTTAGTAGATTTAATCTCACCTAGTTTCCTCCTCTTCCTCCACAGGCCTCTCAGACATCCCAGGAGAGGCCATGGTGAAGCTGTACTGCCCTAAATGTATGGATGTCTACACACCCAAGTCCTCCAGGCACCACCACACAGATGGAGCCTATTTTGGCACTGGCTTTCCCCACATGCTCTTCATGGTTCACCCGGAGTACAGGCCCAAGAGGCCCGCCAACCAGTTTGTCCCAAGGTTAGTGTGGTTGGTCCAGAAGAGGTGCATCACCTGGGCTATCATGATCCTCAAAATTTGATTGTTAGTACCAAATCCCAGTGAAACCGTAGAGTCCTCGATACCAATTTTGACACCACAGCAAAAAATACACCAACAGAATGAATGTATTTCAACATTAGCTCTTGGGATGGAGTTTTTTAGTAAGAAAAAAGACAGTACAGGTTTTAAAAAGAAATTATGCCAAAAACCCATCTACCTGATATATATATATATTATAACATTTTAATTACAAAAGGGTAGGAACAAACAATGTTGTTATAAAACTCCTTCATGTAGTTTGTTTGTGAGCACTTTGATGCACATTTTTATTATATTTTCTGTTCCTCTGAAAAGCTTCAGATAAAGTTGGCTGAGTGTTTCTGCACCTGCCTTTCCTGCTCAACATCTTCCTCATGCTGATGCTGTATAAAGATTTATGAGGAAAAGTTCAGATGCTGCTGCACACAGCTCTGTGTTGACAGGAGACATTGCTATGTTAGCCTACACAAGCTAAGGCTTTGTTAACGTTGTGTGCTGAGCGTTGCTACAACAGATGTCACAGCTCACAAACGGTAACATTTTGGGATGTGTGACATGTTGTTAACATAAAGTAACAACTGAAACTCCCTCCAAATGTGACACTGTTTGCATTTGGTCGTTTACAACTTGTCCTTGACTTTGAACACAAACACTAAAGCTGCATTCCAAATCACATACTTTTTTTTTTTTCTTCTTTTTTTTATTTATTTATTTATTTTACTGTAAGTATGTACTGTAGCTGCCCTCACAAACTATGTACTCTTTCATGCAGCATGTATACAATCAGGACACATTATTTCGTCAGAATATTGTGCCCTAAACATTGACCATTGCAGCCTGTGCTGTGAAATAAGCTGTCGTCTGTTTATGCACCATCAGTGGCTTAACTGTGACTTATGTGACGTAACAGCACGGAGGATTGTGGGTCAGAATGACCAGAAAAGCACGCTGGCTTGGATACTGCAAAATCCGATCAGATGTAGGAAGGCGTTATGGTATTTTTGGTGCAGTGCACTTGATGTACCATATATTAGTACATACTGAATCTTTCCTGGCATATATTATAGTATCGTGGTAGGATGGATAATGAAATGCATCCTAAATATCTGCATACACAATTTTTGATGAGTGTTTTTCCACACGTTGCAGTGGACCTAATGTTTTCCTGCACTTGCTGACTTCTTCCTGGAGAAATTCCAATCCCCAGCAGGCTAATTATGACAGCTGCAACACCTTCAACACTACAGACAATAATTACTGTCAAATTTTCAGAATTTTGGTGTCAACTTGGTGCTGAAGTATCAGTTCGCGTGACATCCCTGTACGGTTACGTTCACACTGCAGCATTAATTCACATGTACTGTTTGCTGTTGGTATATGTGGTTTATTGGCCCCAATATTTGAATGTGGCAAAATTCCCCTGTCAGAATTAAGGGGGAGAGCCTGTACACACTTTACATGTTATTCATATTTTTATTATTTCATATTTTTAAAATGAATTTTTTAATAATATAATTTTTGTATTATTACTTTTATGTTACTTTTTTTTAAGTGTTGTGGTATTTCTGGAATAAACTCATGTTTGTTTTAGGTTTGGTGACTAAATTTTGGGGGACAGATGCTTCATTTAACTCAGTTGTACTTAAAGTTTCACTAGTTAGTTTCATCAGGTTTATTTATTTCTAATAGTGCAACACTCTAACTTAACTTTGGCAAAAAATGGTCGATTTTTAGCATCTGTTGCATTTATTCTAACCCCAACTTTTTTGATTTCATCCAAATACAATTCATCATTTTTTTCCTCTCTCATCAGTGTATTGTAGTTTTAATTTGTCACATCCACATTCCTTTCCTGCATGTCTTTTCAACCTCCTGTGACGTCTGTTTGCAGCCTGCAAACACTTTACAACATTTAAAGAAAGTTAATTTGAAAAGATCACAGTGTTATAGATCACACATCAATGTTCTCTCCCTAAAAGCAAATAGACGACTAATCACTGTACAAACAGCCTTGTTTATGTCAGTGTTCATGTTTTTGTTGCATTTTGCTGATTTTGTTTGAACTCTTTGTGCTGCTCTGGACTTTTTCATCTACAACATAATTATTTCTTTGAGTGTTCACTGACGTTTGCCGCCACCTTTTTGCTCCAGGCTGTACGGCTTCAAGATCCACCCCATGGCCTACCAGCTGCAGCTGCAAGCCGCCTCCAGCTTCAAGAGCCCTGTCAAGGCCATCCGCTAGAGCATCCAGGACTGAGGAGGAAGAAGAGGAGGAGGAAGATACCTAGAGAGAGAAAGCAGAAAAGAATTATTGGACGGAGAGGGGTCACCTGCATTTTACAAAGCTCTTCAGATGTCCCCTCCCCACCCTGAGGACTGTATTATTTTGGTTTAGACTAGTGCAAATGAAAACGATTTTTGAGTGTGAGCGAGACATAAAAACGCACAGCCATGATCTTAATTACAAACACACACACACACACACATGCACACATAAACACAGCCGCAAACTTGGTTTTCCATGCACGTACCTTACCAAACTCATCCGTGCCAAAAACAGAAGGCGAGGTAACAGGAAGCTGAACAATACAGGGGCTCACTGCTACTGCTGCAGTTCACTCACACCACGAGCACACCGATGAGAGAATTACGTTGTTGGTGGGTGACTCTACAGTTTGAATTTCTTTTTTTCCCTGCAGAAAGAGTTTTAGTTGACAGATGGAAAGCTAAAGGAAAAAAAAAAACAAAAAACTGACTATGTGTTTGTTCTGTATTTGGCACAGTTTGGTGGTGGTAAACCCTCCCTGTTAGCCCCCTCTCCTCGATGCATGTACACTCAGGCTGGCACTCCTGTATCACGCGTTTGTAAAATTTGGTTTATCTGATGTTTTGTGGTGTCATTGCACAAAGCATTTTGTTAAATTTGCCTTAAGGTACAGAGAAACACCCAGATTGCTTTGCTTTTCAACAATTTCTTCTTTTTTTCCCCTCCCCACGTTTCTTTCTGCTTTTAGAGAAGGTAGAGTGGAAATAGGTCAGATTTGTGTTGATTTCTGAATCGTCAAACAATTGTAACAAGCCTGTGTCATTTCTCCAGCTGTCTGTGCGTGTCAAACAACAGTCTGTACTGGTACCTTCCTAAGTGAGAATATATCCTGTGCAAGGTTTTTGTCGTCCCCCCCACCCCGACAGGTTTTTCCCTCCTGCAGCAGCAGGTTTTGTGCTGTCACCCACCTTCCCCCCTAGCTTCATCTCCGCTACAGAAGTAGTTTGACATTTGAGGAAAGTGACTTTCTGGCAGCGAATAGATGAAAAATCGATACCATTTATGTCCATATGGTAAACATAAAGCTACAGTGAGCATCCATTAGCTCAGACTGTAAACAGTTAGCGTGGCTTTGTCCTGCAGTCAGAAAACCCTCCAACCAGCACTTCTGAAGCTCTACATTTAACTTAATCCTACCAGAAACAGAAATGTATACTTTGAAATATATAGATGGCCATTTATAGGTTTCTTTTTTGGAGGGATTTTAACAGAAAAATGCTAACTTGTGAGCTGTATGGGTGACTTGTTATACAAAAAAAATGACTTGTAAAATCAACAATTTGCAATTTTTCAGAGTGTTATGTGTCGGTTAGCAGTGGAGCTCAATATTGCAGGCTTTTAAAGGGACGACATAAAGACATCTAACTGTAATTATTTGTATTTTTGCTTAGTTTGCAGGAACAGTTTTAGATGACCCCTTAAATTCAGCTGTTCACCTGTACTGCAGAATTTAAGAAAAAGCTGCATCCAGTGATTAGCATTTAACTTGTCTTTAAAGACTGAGCTCCGGACACTCATGCATGTAGCCTAACGTGGCACACAACACCCTGTTAAAATATCCAGTTGTAATTTTTACACTGTTTAAATGAATCTAGACAGAGCTAGGGCTGCTGTTTCCAGTCTTGTTGCTAAGCTGCTGTTTGTAGCTTTATATAAGCGCAGTAGGTATTCAGCTTTCTCGTCTAAATTTTCAGTAATTATTCCCCCAAAATGTCCCAACTACTCCTGCAAACATCGAGGAGACTCAGAATTTAGACAATCTAAATCCTTGAGCTCACTCCACCACTGCACTGATCCTGCTGGTGTATCTCCACAGCACAGTCATTATGTATGTTCAGGTTCAAAGACTGACAGACCACCAGCCACTTGTTTTTTTGTTTCTAAGACCGTGGAGGCAGACACTCTGCGTGCCCTCCCTCTCCTCTTTTACTTTTCGTGTGACTGCAGTAGAGTTTTGCGTTTGGATTTCATGATACAAGAGAAGCGGTATTTATGTGTCCAGATTTTAACTAATGTTTGTCTGTGTTGTTGTCTTTCTGCTACTGTGGAAGGGTGAGCAGGATTCAGAATTCTCAATAAACTTCTATTTTCTTTTCATATTCTTCTGTCTTGTATTTGTATCCAGTGTTGCAGTTTGGCCTTCTTGCCACATAGTGTCAGCAGAGAACTTAGTGTTTTTTTTTGTTTTGTTTTGTTTTGTTTTTGTTTTTTTGGGGGGTGGGGGGGTCTCATTTTCACTAATCTGAATGTTTCTTTCTTGCAACAGTTGGATGAAAACATAATGTAACGCAGAGTGACTGTAAACCACAGAGCCGTATCTGCATTCTTGACATATGTGCGTGTTTTTGAGCTCAGAGGAGGATATCCTGCAGTGGCACAGGGATTGATGGTTGTCTGGATCTGGGTGTGGCTGCAGTGGCATTTCACATGACTCTGAGTTAACAGCAATGGTACACAAACACATGCACACACACAAAACAATTATACAGCTGTGACACAAAATCATAAGATCTCAGTCATGCTTCTGCAATTATTTTTAAATCAGGTTTCGATGTTGTCCAGCCTTTTTTGCACACTGGAAAAGGTCAGAGTGGAAATTAAATATTTCAAATGCAGCTTTGATTTAAAAATACTCTGCACATGCTCAGTTTAGGTGGCAGAAATTACATTGAGAAACACTATGGCTTCTTTACGTATGAGTCACAGAAGGTGTTTTTCACTTCTGCACGGCAGCTGTCTTTGGCAAAATGACTGGCAGGGGTGAGTCGTCTTCATGTGGCCAAACCCTGTCAGTTTTTCCAGAGGGAGAAGACGACGAGGAGGAGGAGATTCTTTCATGACTCAGGATAACCTCAAACCACAGCCTGGGACCTGCCCTTCTTCTGTTGCTTTTCTTTCAGCACATCCCTAAACTTTGTGACGAGGAATCCTTTGTAATTTCTAGCTGCAAAGTGTAGACCGGCTGGAGGAGCAGACCCTCTTTCTTTAAAAGTCTGCTTCATAACAAATTTTTTATTTCAATTTTCAAGGCTTTAAATGTGGCAAGAAAACAGCTCCAAGGCTGTTTCCAGCATAATAATCTGGTCAGCTGCTCATACTGGTGCCGTGTGAAATGTTCAGCCTTTGCATCACCACACCCAGAGGCAACATTGCACCATTTTCCTCTTGGAGGTTTTCTGGGATGCCGCTCTTCCACAGATACAACTATTAAGGAAATATGCCCGCCACAGACACTGAGACCACATGCAAAAACACTCTCCAAAAATACGTGTTGTTGATAGAAAATCTGCCGTTTTCGAGGCTTTACTGTGCAGCTGCAGTGTGCGCTGAGGTTCTCCAGAATGTTACGAAATCTGGCAGAGAGTCAGTCAAGGTTTGACTTGACAAGACAAGTTGAATTTGATTGCAGCCAAATTGTAGAGCTCAAAAAATGTTTGTATCCTTCCTAGCTGTTTCAGTGTTCAGTGTGTTCCAGAAAGTAGATTTAATGTGACTTTCTTTGTCAGAAAAATACAAATCATTGTAAAAAACCAAAAATGTTACATATATAAAATACTTGTTTTCAGGTTTATTCAGTCCCAACATGTCAGTATTAGGAAGATGCACCTGTATTTATAGCTTCAATGGGTCTGTTATCTTCATTTCTGTGAGCAGAGCAGTTTCTCCAGTTCTTCTGTGTAAAATAACTCAAACTGGTTGCCTAGGTGACAGGTCTGAGCCACATGAGGAAATGACATTAGTTGTTTTTATTCTGTTGTAGCTCTTGGCTTTGTGCTCGGTGCCATTGTCTAGCTGGAAATAATATCCTCTCCCAGGTTGCTAATTTTCGTCTCGTGTTTTACTCCACTGGTTTTCTGTGCCAAAGCAGGCCTGCAGCAGCGGAATGCAGCTGCAGTATGATGCTGCCACCGTCATGCTTCACCCATGCTTTTCCATTTGACTGCAGAGTATCAGAAGAACCTTGGGGAGAAATTTGGTGAAGATGTT